TTGTGACATATTCTCTTCCCTGGGAGCGTATGTGTGTTCCATATTTATAGAATTGACTATCATTCTCTGTAGAAGAAGTGGAACACATTAGAATTCCATTTTCAGACTTTGTTTCTGGTTTCGGAGGAATTGATACGCATCTGCGCCCCAATTTGGACTTTTCTTTCCTGTTTCCGGATGGAGTGGAACGCATTTGCGTTGCAGATACAGATGAACTGGGACTTCCGGTATTGCGAAAACGAGGCTTGGAGCGCATGCACCTTCAGAAGCGCGAAAGGATGATGAAACCCGACGGAGGAAATTATTTGCAGATGTTTCCGATTGAAGGCACTTTTAGGATTGGCTAAAAAAATTTAAGGCAGGGTATTTAAGTGTTTATATGTTTGTATTTTGTGTATTTTGTTGCCACAAGCCCCTGACGAAGTCATTGAGACGAAACGCGTAGGGTGCCAAGCTTTGTTTTGTATTTATATTTTTATTGAGGATCTCTCCGTCTCCCTTGTCTCCATATTTCTCTATATCCTGATGGTTATATTTTGCTTTGGTGGAAGACATTGAGTTTGATTTGAAGAGCCCGATTACTACTGTTACTTTGTAAGTGTATCCAATAAAGCTACATTTTTAATACTATACAGTTATACACTATGGTCTGTCTTGTGCTTTGTTTTAAGCATCCATCTTTACACTAAGAAGAGACGAAGCATTTTAAGAAGATTGACTATACCCTGCCTATTTATATCTTTGTTTGTGAGTGCATTTTAGTTTTCTTTTATGGTATGTTTTTTATTTTACAGTCTGCACTATTGGTCTCCCTTTGTACTTTTTAGGTTGTGCTTTTTAGTGTTTTATAGCCATCATTATGAACCTTGAGTCAGATTGTCCTTTATCCCAACCAACGCCCACTATTTTATGATGAATAATGCTGCAGGTAGAAGAGCATTCTAAAGGTTGCAAAATAGTGAGCATACTGTTTCAATAAACATTAGTAACATAAAATGTAAGAGATGGTATTTAAAGGAATATAGATTTTATTAACATATCAAAAATATTTAATGACAATGATTAGTGGCAGCTCACTGTTAACCCCTTAAATCCGGAGGGCGTACTATTACGCCCTGCAGGAGCCGGCTCTAAACGCCGGCGGGCGTAATAGTACGCCCTCACTTTAATGGCCGCCCATATGGCCGGCGCTAGTCGCCCGCTGCAGATCGTGTGACCGCGATCTGCAGTCTCTGATCGCAGTGACAGGCTGTCACTGCGATCAGTTTTTAACGTGTGTCAGCCGATTTCAAGTCGGCTGACACACGTGGCCGGCAGCTACCCCGTGCAGATCGCGGTCGGGGGACTTACCTGGCCCCCCAGGCAGTTCCCCTGGGGTCAATGACCGCGATCTGCACTGTCTGAGATCGCAGTGACAGCCTGTCACTGCGATCAGTGTTACATGTGTCAGCCTATTGGCTGACACATGTAACTGGCACAAAGATCCCCCTGCAGATTGGAAGGGGGGAGTGCTTGTACCACCCAGGCACTCCCCCCTGTGGCCAATTACCCAATCTGCAAGAGGTGATCACAGTGACAGGCAGTCACTGTGATCACTGATCCTGTGTGTCAGCCAGTGATGTAAAATCACTGGCTGACACTGTCTCTGCCCCCTCTCCTGTAAAAAAAAAAATAAAAAAAAAATATTAGTTTAAAAAAAAATAAAAAAATTGTTACATATAAAATATACTTAGATCATATATATTATATATGTGATCTAAGTGTGTGTATGTGTATGTGTATATATATATATATATATATACACACATTTACACATACACGAAGTGTATTTAAATATTAATATATATAATTATATATATTACTATTGAATTACACGTAGACTGATACTAATTAAATATATATATATAATATAAAAAATGTAAATACGTAAAAAAATAAATTAAAAAAATAATTAAAACTAAATAATAAATATATAGATGTTTGTTATTTCGTTCTAACTGTATTGTGATATTAATATATATTTATATCAAAATACACATAGAACAAAATAATATATATATATATATATCTATATACATATATATGTATACATCACTATATATATATATATATATATATATATATATATATATATATATATATATATATATATATATACACCTATATATAAATAAAAATATAAAAAAAATATATATATACACATATATTAATTCTACACATATATTTATGTAATATTTTTACATAATTAGGTATCCTAATTAATTACAATTAGCGGGACCTGCCTGACAACCCATGCCGAAAGTATAGGGAATTTAATTTGCTAGCACTATATTTAACCCTATAACTTTCCAAGACACCATAAAACCTGTAAATTGGGGGTACTGTTTTACTCGGGAGACTTCGCTGAACACAAATATTAGTGTTTCAAAACAGTAAAATGTATTACAACAATGATATCGCCAGTAAAAGTGAAGTTTTTTGCATTTTTCACGCACAAACAGCACTTACACGGATGATATTATTGCTGCAATACTTTTTACTGTTTTGAAACACAAATATTTGTGTTCAGCGAAGTCTCCCGAGTACAACAGTACCCCTCATGTACAGGTTTTATGGTGTTTTCAAAAGTTACAGCGTCAAATATAAGGCTTGTGTTTCATTTTTTTCACATTAAAATTCGCCAGATTGGTTACGTTGCCTTTGTGACCCTATGGTAGCCCAAGAATGAAAATTACCCCTATGATGGCATACCATTTGCAATAGTAGACAACCCAAGGTATTGCAAACAGGGTATGTCCAGTCTTTTTTAGTAGCCACTTAGTCACAAACACTGGCCAAAATTGGCGGGTTTTTTTTTTTGCATTTTTCACACAAACAGATACTAAGGCTAACTTTGGCCAGTGTTTGTGACCAAATGGCTACTAAAAAAGACTTGACATACCCCATTTGCAATACCTTGGGTTGTCTACTATTGCAAATGGTATGCCATTATGGGTGTAAATTTCATTCCCGGGCTACTATACAGTCTCAAAGGCAACATAACAAATCTGGCGAATTTCAATTTCAAATGTAACGTGCTATATTTGACCCTGTAACTTCCCAAAACGCCATAAAACCTGTACATAGGGGGTACTGTTTTACACGTGAGACTTTGCTGAATACAAATATGTGTATTTTATTGCAGTAAAAGCAAACAGGATTATGACATTGACAGTTAAAATGTCATGTAGAACTAAAAAAATTATTAATATTAATATTGATATTAAATGAAAGACCTGTTTCCCCTGAATAAAATGATATATAATAAGGGTGGGTGCATTTACTATGAAAGAGGTGAATTACGGTTGGACAGACATGTAGCGCAAATGCCAGGTTTTGTTTACATTTTGTTTTGTTCACAACGTGTACATTTGGCTCCGTCCTTAAGGGGTTAATATTTGTGAAATTTTGCAGTTGGTAAACAGTCGTTCCTTGGTCATTAAAAAGTAGCAACAACAATGGAAACATATTCGTAGTCTATAGAAACTAAAATCACTTTTTTCCAAACAAATCAAAATAATAATACATTTGTTTTTGCTTTTTGTTTTTCAGCTGCTGTTGGACTTGCATCTGCTCTCTTTAGTTTATGTAGAAGTACTATTGCAGTAGCCATACTTTATGGATTTTGTATCTGCTCATTACAGGTTAGTCTTAGGAAGCAGAAAAAGAATAACCGATACAGAATATGTCTCATACTATTCCTAATTTCTCACTGTATTGCATGAAATTTAAAAATGTCAATAAGCTGAAAGAATTAGTAATAGTAAAATAGTAAAAATTATAAAAAATATGTGATCAAAATGGTTGATCATAATTAAGTTTGTACTATGTTTCCCTTATAGATGGGGGAAAAAATGTCCTGTTTTTGGCAAACCACTAAAAAACTGTTTGACACAAACTGTGGTCAGTTGATAGTGAAATGGGCTTTGCAAATCATTATCTTAAATATTTTAAAAAAGGCTTGAACCCAGAACAAAACCCCTGCATTTTTCTTGTTACAACGTGTGTCCTTTATATATAAACCAATTGCAGATTATGCTAGCTTTTGTGTACTAATAATCTTTATTTTAATAATGACAGGAGGCAAGTATTTTGCATTACTCTTTTTACTCAACTCCACAGCAGCAAAGAAAGTACAGAAAAAGAACCAATGGGAAACAAGTGAGGAGTATATAAGCTATGCTACACATAAGCACCTTCACTTTCTTATTGCGACAAACAACACAAGGTGAGATAAAAGTAAAACAATACCAAACAGAAAAATTATTATCTGGCACAGGTCAATGAATTCCGGCACCAGGGAACAGACAGCCAATGAAGTGGATTAAACTGAAAAGAGAATGTGAAACACACTTAAAAAAACAAAAAAAAAAAACAACTAAATTAGACATCAGGTCTAGCATAACCTGAAACATATCTCCCCAACACTCTAGACTAGCATGCAACTAATCATGCACAGATAACAAACAAAGCATAACGCATTGCAAACAAGCAATATAAATCATCAGAACTTTAACACCGTGGTGTTTCCTCTACACTGCATGGATCTGAGCGGTATTTGGAGATCTGGGTTATTTTGGGGGTGTATTATTTGTGGGTTTATTATATATTTTTATGATGTTTTGGGGGATTTTTATGTTTTATATTTTTGAGTTTGCCTCTCTGTTCCTGAGAGATAATTAGCTTACCGGCCTTTAACACAGTTATCTCCCAGGCACAGAGATCTATGGGAGGGGCTTGTCTTGTATTGAATGGAAACCCACTACTGGGAGCTGTGTATATAATCAGGCAACATGGTAAACCAGCTCATGTGTACCCTTCATCAAATCTTGGCTGATGTTTGGGTAGCTCAGAGTTATAATCACTGTTTCACTTCACGACCTGGGAGACTCTTCAACGGATATACTCAATTGGAGTATATGGGATGCGTTACAATCTGTAAACAGCAAGACACAAAATAGAGCAGTAATCACAATGCAAATCATGAAACAAACACAAAGGGAGAGGTAAGGGAGGGAAAATACTTGCCTCCTGTCATTATTAAAATTAAGATTATTAGTACACTAAAGCTAGCATAGTCTTCAATTTCACAGCATTTAAGGAGGCTTCATATATTGCATTTTTAACACTGAGCCATTAGAGAAAACAAGGCACATTCAGCGGGACGAAAGTAAAACATCCAGTAAGTTTCCTCCCAAGACCAATCCGCTACACATAGGATATCCACAAGAGAAGCACCCAGTATAAGAGCCAGCAAAGCAGCACCAGCATCCCAAATGGAGTGAGCACTAAAGGAGGCATCAACGCCTACCAGAGACAGCAACCATTTGCCAAGGGTCGTTACCAACACCGGTTTAAATGGGCAAACATAGGACACCAGAAGTTGACCCTATGGGGAAGAGTGAAGAGGTGACGTAACCTACACATACCGGAGCAATGTGAAGATCATGCCTAACTGAGGAGCCAATGCGAAAAATGGATAGAAAACTGCTATGAAATCCATCCCCGTTCGATGAGAGATGCAAAAGGTAACCCCTTCCAAGGAAAATGAAAAGGCGTCAAATTCCCAAACAATCGATAAAAGAAATCCAAACACAAGAGAAACATGTAGCAGAGATAAAGTCTATCATTCTCTGGCCAGTCTCTCAGAAAACATAAAACCTTCAATGTTACGGCATTAAAGGAGGCTGTATATGCTACATTTTTAATGCTGAGCCACTAGAGAAAATACAACACATTCAGCGTCCTGTCATGTTGTAAAATTACTTTCAATATAGATGGCAGCTTTATAAATGAATAATTTCAGCAGGATTCTTTTCTTTCAGGATTTGTACCAGAGTATTGGGAAAAAGCAGATGTGATGCTTATATTTAAAAATGGTTCAAAATCTCAACTCAGAAACTACATACCTGTGAGTTTAACATATGTGGTTGTGAAATAATTTGAAGGGCTGTTGAGGGTAAATATTCAAAAATTTATTTTGAACAACAATACCATTAGTAGGAATCAACATGGTTTGATGAAAAATAGGTCATTCCAAACTAGCTTAAATTGTGCTATATGAAGACATTAGTAGAAATGTAGATCAGAGTTTTCCAATATACACTCTCTACTTGAATTTTGTTAATGCATTTGATACAATTTATCACATTTCTTGGGTAAAACATTGGCTGAAATATAGAGTACAGTTGTAAATAGAAATCTTTGAAATTTGTCAAAAGTGGTAAGTGGAGTACTTCAGAGTTCTGTCCTGTGTTCACTTCGCTTTAATCTGTTTAGAAATGATCTTGAAGTGGGCATTGAAGTCATTTGTCAGTGTTTGCAGATGGCACATACTAGGTAAGATACCAATTAAGATGATACGGTCTGATCATTATATAACTTCTCTTTTCAGAGGGAATTGGATAAAGGGGCAGCTTAGTGGCAGATGATATTGAATACAGATAAATGCAAAATAATGAATTTTGTAATAAGGAACCCACAATACCTAAACTGGGTTAGGGATAACATTAAATAAAAATGACTTGGGAACAATTATGTATAACAAACTATGACATTTTAAAAAGATAAGGTGCTTTCATATATAAAAAAGGCTATTAAGTCACTGATCAAAATATAGGTTTGTCTCTTCATAAATCAATGATAAGATATCCGTCTTTAAAACTGGTTCAATTTTGGGCACTTAGTTTAAAAAAAAAAAAGTATATTGCAGAACTAGAAAAAAAAGTGCAGAGATAGGCTACAACATTAATTAATTAATTTGTTATGAAGAAAGGCTAGACAAAACTGCATTTGTTTTATTTAGAAAAAAACAAAATGCATCTGAGGGAATATGGTAGCACAATACACATATACACAAAGTTACCACAAACAGCCATATACTAACCTGCTCATCAGTAGGAAGACAACAGACCAGAGGTCCCCCACTGAAACTGGAAGAAAGGTGTTTTCACTTATAGCAAAGGAAAGGGTTCCTTACAGTAAGAACAATAAGGGTGTGGTATTCATTACCTAAAGAGGTTGTCTTATCAGGTTCTATAAATATAAAAAAGCTTTGGTATGTTCAAGGATAAGATTGATATGTATGTAGGTTGTTCATCTAAGGAGAAATATGATTGCCATTCTGGAGTCACAAATGATTTTCTCTTTGTGTGACAGTACTGAGAATGGCAACAATTAGTTTTTTGCCTTCTATTGGCTCAACAGTATAAAATAATATTTTTTTTCAACCTAGGCTACTATGAAACACCGAGACGTATCTGACAAAAAGGGAGTAAATGTCTTACCTCCACACCTATTTTTACAATTTCCCTATTGATCTCCTTCCCTATCACACTTGAGAGAATATACCCCTTACCGGAGTTACATGTAATTTATGACTACATCAGATAAAACAGAAAAAATTGATTCATCCTACCCTTCTCATCCCCACCCTGTGCCAGTATCCTGTTCAGTGGAAAAGAGACAGTGGTTTAAGACCTTGTGTTGATTACAGAGACCTCAATATAATAACCGCATCATAGATCTTACCCACAAAGTTTTGACTTGTGGAACCGTTTCTCCTCAGGCATAGGTATTGTCCAGCCTGAATCCATTTTTTTTTTTTTTTTTGGTCAATCTTTGTTTTTATTGAGTCGTATGATGGCTCAGTACAGAAAGTAAATCAAGGGGTTAATGCATGAAAAACATACGTTATGCATAACTGGTTTATACAATGGTTGCATGTAATCCCAAGATTAACGGCCTCTTTTTTATGAAAATTTTAACAGTAGTATTATACAGGCTAAACAAGCAAGGTTTACTTGACTAAGTCTGATACACAGCTGAATGTGACGTTGCTGGTATATCTAGGCATGGGAGTGAGTATCAGCGGCAAGCTAACAGGCTAATTTACCAACTCTAATCTTGACCCTCATCTTATGTGAAGCAATGTACTTGCAACTAGTTTAGCTTTCAAAAAGGATTAACCCATTGCAGCAATCGACATGAGGAGGCTTGTGGGCTATAAGCCTATCTGATAACACAAATATATTTAGCTGAATGATAAGCTTGAGAGGGACATGAGAAAAAGCTTCCAAAAATAAAATATCGCCGTTTAAAATGGGCTAAAGAGTATATGTAAATGCTTGTTCCTATAAAAGGAGTACGAGTTAAGTCGCATAGACAGAAGATATTATAGACATGGTGATTACATAGACAAATTATATCATGCTTGCTACTTAGTCACGCACTACACTTTTCTTCATATGGTAAGCTAACATGCATGCAACTGATATGCCTCTGACGTACAGGGAGTGCAGAATTATTAGGCAAATGAGTATTTTGACCACATCATCCTCTTAATGCATGTTGTCTTCCTCCAAGCTGTATAGGCTCGGAAGCCTACTACCAATTAAGCATATTAGGTGATGTGCATCTCTGTAATGAGAAGGGGTGTGGTCTAATGACATCAACACCCTATATCAAGTGTGCATAATTATTAGGCAACTTCCTTTCCTTTGGCAAAATGGGTCAAAAGAAGGACTTGACAGGCTCAGAAAAGTCAAAAATAGTGAGATATCTTGCAGAGGGATGCAGCACTCTTAAAATTGCAAAGCTTCTGAAGCGTGATCATCGAACAATCAAGCGTTTCATTCAAAATAGTCAACAGGGTCGCAAGAAGCGTGTGGAAAAACCAAGGTGCAAAATAACTGCCCATGAACTGAGAAAAGTCAAGCGTGCAGCTGCCACGATGCCACTTGCCACCAGTTTGGCCATATTTCAGAGCTGCAACATCACTGGAGTGCCCAAAAGCACAAGGTGTGCAATACTCAGAGACATGGCCAAGGTAAGAAAGGCTGAAAGATGACCACCACTGAACAAGACACACAAGCTGAAACGTCAAGACTGGGCCAAGAAATATCTCAAGACAGATTTTTCTAAGGTTTTATGGACTGATGAAATGAGAGTGAGTCTTGATGGGCCAGATGGATGGGCCCGTGGCTGGATTGGTAAAGGGCAGAGAGCTCCAGTCCGACTCAGACGCCAGCAAGGTGGAGGTGGAGTACTGGTTTGGGCTGGCATCATCAAAGATGAGCTTGTGGGGCCTTTTCGGGTTGAGGATGGAGTCAAGCTCAACTCCCAGTCCTACTGCCAGTTCCTGGAAGACACCTTCTTCAAGCAGTGGTACAGGAAGAAGTCTGCATCCTTCAAGAAAAACATGATTTTCATGCAGGACAATGCTCCATCACACGCGTCCAAGTACTCCACAGCGTGGCTGGCAAGAAAGGGTATAAAAGAAGAAAATCTAATGACATGGCCTCCTTGTTCACCTGATCTGAACCCCATTGAGAACCTGTGGTCCATCATCAAATGTGAGATTTACAAGGAGGGAAAACAGTACACCTCTCTGAACAGTGTCTGGGAGGCTGTGGTTGCTGCTGCACGCAATGTTGATGGTGAACAGATCAAAACACTGACAGAATCCATGGATGGCAGGCTTTTGAGTGTCCTTGCAAAGAAAGGTGGCTATATTGGTCACTGATTTGTTTTTGTTTTGTTTTTGAATGTCAGAAATGTATATTTGTGAATGTTGAGATGTTATATTGGTTTCAATGGTAATAATAAATAATTGAAATGGGTATATATTTGTTTTTTGTTAAGTTGCCTAATAATTATGCACAGTAATAGTCACCTGCACACACAGATATCCCCCTAACATAGCTATAACTAAAAACAAACTAAAAACTACTTCCAAAAATATTCAGCTTTGATATTAGAGTTTTTTGGGTTCATTGAGAACATGGTTGTTGTTCAATAATAAAATTAATCCTCAAAAATACAACTTGCCTAATAATTCTGCACTCCCTGTAGTACTAGTTAAAGCTAAACATTTATGCAGTTTATATTGAGTAGAGGAGGCTTTTCTAATCTAAAGTGATATCAATATAATAACATTTTTAACTTGGTATGAGTTTTCTTGCTTTTGTGTCACTGGGTTGTTTGCAACCTCGGTTAGAGTCCCTGTCCGAAGACTTATCTCGGCCGGCAGCCAGCTCCCAAAGTTTAGGCAGCCAATTCCCTGGCTGGGCTTCCACCTTCCTTGTGTACAATGTCCACCTGGCATGTTTTTATCTCCCAATGTGGCGTCGTGCAGATCTTCCTCCCGGAGTGGGAGTCGGCCAGGCCGTGAGTGGTCGAGCTCTGTGGGTGGTCTGTTTGGGTCTACGGAGTGTCGCAGCTGGGTACTCTGATCGGAGAAGTGCCCCACAGCCCCTGCGGCTCTGCTGTGGGTTTCATGAGAGGGCCTTCTCTTGAGTTGCGGTTGCTTGGTGGTGTTAGTGGTTCTCTTTGGGCGCAAACCTCTCGGTTCTCTCATGTGTCAGGCTCTCAGGACAGTAGCCAGTGGTGAGTGACACTGGGCAGGCTGTGGCTCTCAGGCTGTCTCTCTTCTTCCCCTGTTTCTTTAGTTTGGGGGCCGGTCGGGTTCTCTGAGGCTCTCTCGCCTCAAGTGCCGTTGCTTGTCGGTCATCTCCTTAGGTTTTGCCCCTCTGTGGCACAGTTTCTGCCAGAAGTCTGTAAAAAGTGCGTCCAGCCGCTGTTCATAGTTTTCGAGCATGCCACATGTGCTCTGCTTTGGCAGTCGCCATTTTGGCTTTGATGCGTTGCGTCATGCCTGGATCAGGTAAGTTTCACTTGCCGTCTCAAGGCAAAGCCTGTCAACTTATCGGTCGCTTGATTGATTGTGCCGGGATATCCCTCACCGGCGAGGGGGGTGAACGGGGTCTTAGGTGTTGCAGCGTTTTCCCGCAGGGCCGTTGGTGGGGAGGTCGGCCGCCTCTCTCCTGCCTGCACCTGCTGGTAGGCCGCAGCTCTGTCTCTGCTACCGAGTGCCTCTCCAAACCCAGTGGTCCAGCCCTTTGAGTCTCAGGGTAATGTCACTGCTCTGTTGCGCCAGGCTAGTAATTTTGGTGTGTAATGTTAGGTAAAAGTTGCTTTTTGACGGTTCTCACACGGAGCTCTGGTTTAGTGCGACCAGACTGCTCGGCGGTCAGGCCCCGTCCCCCTGAATCCATTTTTTTTTTTTTTTTAAGAATGGGTGTTCCAGCTCAAGTTGTTTGATGCCTTTTGTTTTCTATACATTGTCATGCTGATAGTTCCAAGATACTCAGTTTAATATAAAGGATATTCAAAAATGTCACTTTCAATCTCATATGATAAATAAAGATTTCTTCATGTAAGGATTTAACAAACACCCAAAAGAGTATAGAAAAGTATCCTGATAAGGTATATTGCTTGGGACCACACAGAAATATCAGTAAAGTTAAAGTGTACACAAATGAAATAGCAGATGAACAGATGCAAACTGATTATGGATACAAAGTAAAAACAGCTTAAAAGTTAAACAATGCATTTAGTACTTAAGCAGGCTTTATTATCTGTGTGCCAATCAGATCACTATAAGGGTTCCATATTGTCCAGCTGCTATTTAAATAGAAGTGAAGTAGCGATAAATCGACTATTAAAAAAATCAAAGAGTACAGTAATAATCGTGTGAATTAAATAAAAGTTATATGTATGGCACTGTCACTATACTCTTATTGATAAGTATATCAGTGGTTGGAGTAACACTTTTGTGGTCTCATACAAATCATACTCCCATCATACAATTCTTTGGGATAGCAATATGAGGGATAAAGTACATTTGGTCACCTATAATGGCTGTGTATATGAAGATCTCAAAATCTCAAAAAAATGACTAAAATTGCCAGATAAACCTCAGTTCTCTCATAAATAAGAGTCAATCTACATATATCAGAAATTCACCATGTGACAAGTGCCTCCGTTGTCTCATGGGGATGAGGCAACCTACATACACTAAAAGTTATCCTTAAGAGGATAACTTAACCTCAGTTGTGCCATGAAAGGGAGACAACCTACAGCTAGCTAGGACAACTCCTGGAGACAACCTACACATACTAGGAGTAAACCCTATTACTGATAAAAGTACCAGTGGGACAACCTACAACCACAAAAAATCGGCATAATCTCAAAGTGAAAAGACTAGAGCCCAGTGACAAATGAAACGTGATAAAATAACAGATTCTTGATGTGCGATTTGGTGCTACATGGCACCTTTGTCAGGTGAAAATGTGGCATTAGAAGATTCCCATGTAAATTAAGGGGTTCAGGTCCCTCCCATAAGCCAATCAGGAAAAGTCACGCATATCTGTGTAATATGGCCAGTCAGTATAGTAAGCCCACATACTGGGTGTGGGCTGGGATATCAGAGTAATGACTGAGCCAACTGGGCCTCTCCAACTGGGCCTCCTCAATATTGATGTATTCTAGAGGGGCGGAGTAATCAGACACCCATTAGGATTCCAAGAACAGGAAGAACAATTAAGTCCTACTAAATAAACTCCTGGTCACCAAAGGAGAAGAGACAATAGCTTATCCGAAATAACATATGTCGAAAATTT